ATATATATATATGTATAGTGTATTAATTTCCTATTACTGTTGTAGCTTAATCACCACAAATGTATTAGCACATAGTTTTTGAAGATCAGAAGTCTGAAATTGGCCCCACTGGGTCAAAATCAAGATCTCAGGAGAGTTATGTTCCTTTCTGAAAGTTCTCCAGAATATATTTTGTTGCCTTTTCCAGCTTTAGGGCTGCCCACGTTTCTTGGCTTGAGCCCCACCCTCTTCATAGTTCAAAGCTAGCAATGGTAGGGTCTTTCTCACAGTGCATCATTCAGACACTATTTTGCCTTAGTCTTTCATATTTTAAAGGACTCTTATGACTATATTGACCTACTTGGACACATGTATAATACACAATAAGTCCGCAACTTATGAACAAGTTCTATTCCAAGAAAATCGTTGTAAATCAGATTCGTTTGTAAGTCCAAAGTAAGTTTGTAAGTTGTATAAGATTCACTTTGACACCAATATGCAATGTAAAGCATTAAAAAACCAAACAAAAATACTGTAAAGAAACTTTTTACTCTTACAGTTACCTTAAAGTAACTTTACAGTATAGTACAACTGGCATACACGGGATTTCATAGAGTAAGCTGACAAAAAGAGAATTACTAACTGGAGGAGGGATGCTGGGTCGGAGATAATGGAGCTGGAAGGATCATCAACGATAGTAGATGAAGGGCAAGATGGAATCTGGCTCACACTTGATGTTGCTGGAACTGAAAGATCATCATCTATTTCCACAATTTGTTCACATCTATAGATATTTGTAATTCGAGGTCTGTTAGTATCTGTGAATGTTTGCAACTCAAATGTTCATAAATTGGGGACTTACTGTATTTCTTAAATAAGCCATGAATTGAATGAGAAATCACTATGAAAATTAGAATACATCTTTTTGTTGTTGTTGTTGAGACAGGCTCTATGTTACCCAGGCTGTCCTTGAACTCGTGGGCTTAAGTAATCTTTCTGCCTTGGTACCCTGAGTAGCAGCATTTCTATTCAATATTGTACTAATGGAATCAACACTAAACTTTTGTCTGTTTTAGAATATGGCAATTGCTTTCCTAGGGAAGCATCCTGTAGAAATGCTGACCTGTATGCTGTAAAATATGTACTGGAATGTACTAGAAGTCCATATCAGTGTAGTAAACCAAGAAAAAGAAAATCATAAGGACCCTATGACTGTCAACCCTGATATGTCAGCCTAACTGGACTAAGGAATTCCTGGCAGGTTAGTAAAGCACACGCCCAGGGTGTCTGTGTGGGCCATGGAGACCTGGCCTTGCGTACAATATATGATCCTGCCCCAGTCCTCTCTGGCATTGTCCCCTGCTTTGCTTCCAGGTCCTGTGCCCATGACGCTTCAGTGTTGGAGCCAGTAGATCATGGACTGAAAACATGAGCTGATTAAACTTTTCTTCCTTTAAATGGTAGGCATCAAGTATTGTGTCCAGTGACAGGAAAGCTCACCAACACAGATTGGAAAGGAAAAAATACAGCTGATGTAAGAATGTACAGGGAAAATTCCAAAGAAACTGTCAGATATAGCAAGACGATCTAGCTAGGTCAGTGGATTAAAATTCAATATATAAAACATTTTTTTCTGATACCAGCAAACAAATAGAATATGAAATTAAAATTATTTTCTTAGTAGCATCACCCATAAGAATGCAAATGGAAAATTACAAGTGTCAGGAAGATATATAAAGTGTGCTACATACAGTATGGGATAATATGCAACACTGAGAATGAATGAAGTGTATACACAACTGCATAGATGACTCTCAAGAATGCAATCCTGAGTGAAAAAAGCCAGACAGAAAGGTGTAAATAGTGTAGGACCCTATCTCTGTGACGTTCATTGAGCAGACTTAGTCTATGTAGTTAAAAGTCAAGATAATGGCTGGGGATGATGGTGCACACCTGTGATCCCAGCACGGCAGGAGGCTGAGGCAGGAGGATGGGCAAAGAGACCTTCTCTTTCTTTTTTTTCTCATTGAGTTTATTGGTACATTTTAGGTACACAGTACAGTTATATTCATCTTTGGGATCTTGTACCTTTACATGACAGGTCTTGGTTCTCATTTTTCCCCTTGTCCCTGCCCTCCCTTCACCCCCTCCTCCCTTCCCTGTTCACAAATACTTTATTTCCATTTTTCATTTTCTCATTTTTTTTTCTTTTCCCTTATTACCTTTCCCTACCCTTCCCACTTCCCCTACACCTTTAGCCCTTTTCTTCCTATTTCACATAGTCAATTATATCATTAAGACCTAACGTACCATTGCTGGAGATTTAGCTCAGTGGTTCTGCCACCTGCCTTGCAAGCGCAAGGTCCTGAGTTCAATCCCTTGTACCAAAAAAAAAAAAAAAAAAGATCTAATGTACCATTATAGGTTTTCACGCCAGAGAAACTATTTGCTATTTACACATGTGTGACTTATTTATTTCACTTAGGAGTATATCCTCAATATGTATCCATTTTCCTATGAATGCATCTAGTTTCTTGTTCTTTATGGCTGAGTAGCATTCCATTTTTTAGAAAAACCACATCTTCTTTATCCGGTCTCCAACTGATGGGCAAATGGACTGTTTCCAAGTTTTAGCTATTACAAACTGTGCTACTATAAACATAGGTGCACATATATCATTGTGATATGATTCTTTTAATGCTTTTGGAAAAATACCCAGCAGAGGGATGGCTGGGTCAAATGGAACTTCTAATCCCAGCTTTTTGAGCTATCTCCATATTGATTTCCATAGGGGCTGCCCGAGTCTGCACTCCCACCAACAACAGAGAAGGGTTCCTTTCTCTCCACAACTCCTCCAACATTTGTTATTGGTTGATTTCTTGATAGCAGCCATTCTTCGTGTGGTGAGGTGGAATCTCAGTGTTGTTTTCATCTGCATCTCTCGAATGACCAGTGATGTGGAACATTTTTTCATATATTTACCTGCTGCTTTCACTTCTTTGTCTGAGAAATGTCTGTTCACTTCAGATGCCCATTTTTGAATTGGGAAGAGACCCTGTCTTAAAAAGGGTTGGGGATGTAGATCGGTGCAAGGTCCTTGGTTCAATACCCAGCACAAGAGAAAGAGAGGGAGGAGAAGATAACGACACCCGGAGGGAAGATGGGAGGTGACTTTCCTGGCTTCGCTGAAGTTGTTTCTTGCTACCATATGTTTATTTGTGTGTGTTCACTGGTGATAAGCAGGCTACGCTCTTCGGATATGTGGTATTTTATACATGTTTACCATACTTAAAAAAAATTCTTGCGACTTTAAACTTAGCAGGCTTTCCCCAGCAGAAGTCGCAGACTTGGTTGGCAGCAGCAGCCCTCTCAGAGTTCAGCGATCACCTCGGGGAGCAGAGGGCTGTGGCTACCGGGAGCTTCCGGGGCAGAGGCTTTACGGAGAATCTGCCAATACCTGCAAATTGTGTTCCAAACACTCGTGTCTAAATACGTGTGCCTTCCTGGAGGAGGATCCCATGGTTTGCAACCTTTGGACGCTTTCGCCCCATCTCCCGGAGTCTGTGTTTTTGAGACATCCGGGCCCTGCTTGGCTAGATAAAGTCAGACTGGCTGCTCGCGGCCACCCTGGGGGAGGGGTGGGGCGGGGCACTGCCAGGTGATCAGCCCAGGTCCACTAACCATCCGGAGTAGGCAGGTCCACTCGGGTAGCGGGTAACTGTCCCAGATGCTCAGAGAGGCCCCGACGCCCAGCCAAGATGAAGCTGGCTAGCTGTGTGCTGCTGTGCGCCGGGGCTCTCGGTGAGTGCCCCTGGAGACTGAGAGCTGGCGGGTCCCTCGGGGAGCTGAGGGAGCACTGGGTGCCATCCCCTGAGCCTAAGGGATTCTTTAATGGAATCCACCTACCCCTTCCCTGTTGTGTGACTCTGGGCTGTCCCTTGACCTCTCTCAGCTGGTTTGAGTGGGTAAAATTATCTTTTCACAACACACAGTCGTGACCCTGTTATAATGTGCTTAGAGGCAGGCACAGCTGTAGTACAGGTGAGTTACCACTAACAAAAGTTCTGCATATAAATGCAGGGGGTGCCTTCCTGTGTCAGGAGGGTGGGTTCCTTCAGGACCTGTGCTTTGTAACTGGGGAAGGCCCTGGGTCAGGGTGGTGAACCCCTGTGTGTGAAGAGATCTCCCTCTCTTCACAGATCTCACCTGTGGGTTCTGTCCAGCCCTAGTTCAGGTTGTCATGAATATTTGTGGGGTAGGTTATCTCTCATGGGGCACAGGACAGAGCAAGGAATGGGCATCAAGGGCAACTAACGTGGCTGGGGCCTTCATGGCCTGGCCCTGCCACTGGGGTCACACAGGGAGTCCTATTGGGCCTGTGCAGGCTGAAAAGGTTTTGCACAGCTGTGGCCATAGTCACAAGGAAACCCAGTGGGCAGCCCTTCAAGTCTGTTCTGCCTTCTCCTAAACAGGGCCTATGTTATTTGTTCTTCTTCTGTCTCTCCTGGAAATGCCAGGCCCTGACCAAAAGTTTGTTCTTCCAACTGGCTCTGTGTTTACAAACCAAAGGCAAGAGATGACCCTGTTGGCCACGTCCCCTGCGTTCCCTCAATCATGGCTGCTGCACCAGGCTGGAACATGGGTGTGCTTTCTTCAAAGCATAATATTCTAGTTTAACAAATATTCTTCTGGTAGCAGATAATAGGAAAGCAACCAAAGTAGTACTAGTCAAAAAGACCAAAAAGAAAGGGATGGGGACAGTTGTTGGGAAGCCCTACATGTGCCAGAAGCTCAAATGGCCTATATCTCTGCCTTAGTCCCCACCTCCTCTCTCAGACTCTTACTCTTGTGAGACTTAAGAACTTGCTCTGCTCAGTGAACAGGTGGCCAGTAGCCTTTGCTTTCAGTTAGAAATATTTGCAGTGGGCGCTGATTGCCTCTGCTTGGGCCAGTCAGATGGATGGAGAAGTGCTATTAATGTCAGTCTTGTCTAAGAGACTTGACTCCAGCTGCCCTAAGCTTACTTGCACACATTCTCTCTTTTTAAAATCACGTCTATGGAAGTGTGCTTTACATATAATGAAATATGTCCACTTTAAGTAGACATACAGTTTAGTGAATTTTGAGAAATTATTCATGTAATTACCACCATAATCAGGAGAAAGAATATTTACAACTTTGTTTTTGAGACAGTCTTGCTATATAGCACACCTGTCCTGTGAACCTGTGGTCCTCTTGCCTCAGCTTGAAGAGTTCTAGGATTGCAGGGCTGCACCACCACACTGAGCTCCAAACACTTTCACACTGCCCCTGCCCCTTCTTAATCATTTTCCCTTTCTTCACAATAGATAAGTTTTGCTTTTTCTATTATTTCATACTATTAGAACCAATTGTCCATAGTCCTTTGTGTTTGGTTTTCCCTCAGCATTTGAGATTCATCCACACTATTTTGTATATTGTAGTCCATTCCTTTTTACTGTGGAACACCACTCCATTGTAGGGCTTTGCCACGGTTTGTTTACCCATTCACTTGTTCATGGACATTCTGGTTGCCTCCACCATGAGGCTGTTTGAGTAAAGCTGCTATGAACATTAGCAGATAAATCTTTGAGAGCATATATTTTCATTTCTTTTGGGTAAATATCTAGAATTATTGGGTCATACTGGCAAGTATATCTCCAACTTATCAAGAAAATGCTCAACTGAAGAACTGGAGGTATACCTCAGTGATAAGGGGCTTGCCTAGTGGATTCAAGGACTCATAGAATTGGAAAAAGAGAAGATGTCAAAATTTTGTAGTAGCTGCACCATTTTATATTCCCAAGGCAAGATATGAGAAGTTCAGCTGTTCCCCATCCTACCAACACTTGGGGATCTCTTTGTGGTTCCATTTGTATTTCTGTGATGATCAGTGATTTTGAGCAACTTCTCATGTTCTCAGTGGCCATTTGTACTTCTCTTATGAGATGTCTGTTTGAATCTTCATTAAAAAAAAAGCACAACTTGAAACAACCGAAAATGCAGTCAGTTCCCATCCATAACTTGCTCTTACTTAGGATTGGTACTATTGAAGACTTTATCAAATAAAATTTAAGGGCTCCACTTGTCTTTTCCTATCTTTGGCATGAGATTCTGTCTTAGGTGATTTGGCATCTCCTGTCTCATATCCTTTGATTTTTTTTTCTTTGATATTTCCTACTTATAGGCAGTTAAAAGACAGTACAGATATTGAACTCAAACACAACTGGGTGGTTCAAATATTAAGTTCATCTCAAATTATTTAATGTCCCTGGCAGTTTTTTTAAAATGTCATCTCTAAAACAGGAGCAACAACAGTTAAATGGCAGAACAATTGTGAAAATTAGATGGAAATAAGCTTGTATACTGCCTGAAATGTAGGGGTTTGCTGCTGAATGGTAGCTGTTCTCATTGTAATTTTTTTCCTAGAGTACATTTAAAATAGTGTTTTGTCCAAATATTACAGATTTATAAACAGCATTTTTGTCTTTGTAATGCTATTTATTACTTCTTAAAATGCCAGTGAAGTAAATAGGCACTAATTTAATTCATTGTTTTAATTTTTTGTGTGGAACTGGGATCAAACCAAGGAACACCCTGTCTCTGAGCTACATCCCCAGTCTTCAACCTTTTAAAAAAGTTATTTGAGACTCGGTCTCACTGAGTTGCCCACACAGAACTTGCAGTTCTTACATGCAGTGTGCCACTATGTTCTGGGTAATAGACAATGATTTTAATGCCCCAGCAATTAGTACCAAGGTTAGAATGGCCAAAATTAAAATAAAGACTAACTCACTAGATCTAAAGCTTTCTAACCAAGGGTAGATATTTCTGAGATGGATTCACATAACATAAATTAACCATTTTAAAGTGAACAGTTCTGTGGAGTTTAATACATTCACAATATTGTTCAACTACTACCTCTATCTAGTTCCAAAACATTTTCATCACCCCAAAAGAAAATCCTGTACCCATTAAGCAAGTTATACTCACTCCCTTCTCTCTCAACACATGGCAGCCACCCATTTAGAGTCTTCCAATACGTTTAGATATATCCTGGGAGCGAAATTGCTGTTTTATAATGCCAATTCTATATTTAACTTTTTTATCCAAGGGGTAAGGCAGAATCGGAGAAAGGGGCTATGAGAATTCATGTGTATCAGACAGCCAATCCAGTATGTGCGTACCCACTCAGCTGGTCCTTTATCTTGTCTTTGACTTCTATCAGCAAGTGTTGTGGTTTCTTTACACCTCTGGCTCTCTCCTAGGGCTGTGTCTGACTGCCCCTGCAAAAACTGTAAGATGGTGCACTGTGTCAGATCAAGAGGCCACCAAATGCTCCAGTTTCAGTGAAAATGTGAAAAAAGTTGTTTCAGCAGATGGTCCCCTTGTCACTTGCATGAAGGCAACCTCTTACCGTGACTGTATCAGGGCCATTATGGTAAGTCACTTCTGCCCAAAAGAAAGAAAAAGAAAACCTATCTTCTCTTTTTCTGTACTTGCTACTGTAGAGAAAAATATCCTTGCTCAACATTCATAATCATAGTCATAATCTACAGTTCATAGAGAAGGATTCAATCTTAGTAAGATATCTATAGTAGCATAAAATCAGCATTGCATCACAAAGAAACTATAAAGACCCAGAAATGGGATTTGAGGTGCAACTTAGTGGAAGAATTCTTGCTTAGCAGGCACTAAACAATAGTCATTTTGAAATTAACTGAAAATGTACACTTTCCAAAAAGGCCTTATCTTCATATTCTGCAAAAGGGTACATGGCCTTTCATCCCCCAACTTGCCTGGTTATCCCAGAACTGGGGGAAAAAAAAAAAGACTCAGAAAGTAACAAGAAGCTCTAGTTTTGCCATTATTACTTAACATTGTTTTTGGAATTTCCCAGTGATGCAATAAGATATAAAATACATGTAAGATATAAATAAACAAACATCAGTATTTTCAAATGATTGTTTACCTAGAAAGTATAGTCAGATAAATGCTGCTATAATTATTTATTAATGAACAAACTAGCTTCATAAAATATAAATATATTATAACTAGTATCATTGTTATATACCAACAGACATTAATTGGGAAAAATAGCCCAAAATTGTGATCTCATTTATGTTAAAATAATAAACATAAAAATATTTCTGAAAAAATACAAAATGAGAGATTTACAAAATTGTTAATATAAAAGTCTGTGGCAAGTGAACATTTATTAATAAATGAATCATGTACCATATTCGCAGGTTGGAAGACTTAATATATACTTTTGTATCTTCCTAGTTGTTCAATAAATTTAACATAGTTTGCATCAAATAAACTTCTCAAAAGAACCAATAAAATAGTTATAAAATTCTTAAGGAAGTACACATAGATAAGATTATAAAATGGCATGAGAAAGAACACTAATTGAATAGTCAAGGTCTTCCTAAAAAGACACATATTTAAATAAAAGTGTAATAAAGAGCAAGTTACTGACATAGATACTGAAGACCTGGAAGAGAACAAAAATCAACATATTCTCAGCTTTCTGAATATCTTTCCATCTATCTAATTATCTAAATGATATCATACAGATGCAAAGTATAGTAAATGTTCACAATTAGGGCATTAGGGTACTAGGCATAATAAGTTTAGGCTAGGTACATATAGATTTAGCTAAATATTTATGATAAAGCAAACTTTCCAAAGAAATTCTTGAGAAAGGATTCTTTAATTGGACAACTGGGTTGATATTTGGGGGGGCGTTGAGTGAGATTCTTAATCCATTCACCAAAAAGTCCCTCCTAGCTTGATTCAACTTGACTAAAAGAGTGTTATAGTTTATATTTATATGCCTCTCAAAGCCTCATGCATTCATAGATGGGGGCTTTGGGGAGGTGACTGGATTTTGGGGTGTGATACTCATCAGTGGATTAATCTACTGATGGGTTTATAGCTAAGTGTGATGTCAGGAGGCAAAAAACTGGTCAGATGTGTGACTCACTGGGGGTGTGGCCTAGAAGGGTCTGTCTCCCTCTGTCCTCCATTGATCCTGTCTACCTCCTGCTTGCTATGCCAGGAGGGTGTTTTTCCTCTCCAGTGCTGCCTTGCATTGGAGCCAGCTGACTAAGGGCTGAAACTTCTACAAACTGTGAGCCAAAATAAACCTTTCCTCTTCAGAACTGTGGGTGTCAGGTATTTTGTCTCAGTGACAAAAAAGTAACTAAGATAAAGAGATAAATTGCAAAAGTAGACAAACTTGGAAATGTGAAAATTTTAAAACTATGAAAAATATTTTTTAAATCCCTAAATATTTAAAAATAATCATATTAACTAACAAAACAGCTTATGTACTATAAAAACTATATAAATGTGTAATTTAAATGTATAAGAAATGCTTAAGAATAACAAGCTATAAACAAACTACTCACAGAAAAAACATTACAGCTAATAAACAATATAGATTATAAAGGAAAAATGTTCACCCTTTTTAATAACTAAATAAATTCAAATAAACTCCTTGCAGTAAGTTCATATCTGATAATATGATAGCCTTTCTTTTAAGTTAATTTTATTGGTACATTTTAGTTATAAATGGTGATCACATTCATAGGGAAATTGTATCTATACATAATATATATTTTTTCTTTTCTCTCCAATTCTCTCCCCTCCCTTCAACCCCTCTTCCCCTTCTTATCTACAAATGCTTTATTTCCTTTTTTCCTCTATTCTACTTTTTTCTTTTCCTTTCCTTCTTTTTCCCCTCCCACCCCCATGTTCCCCTTCCCATTTGAGTATTTTCTTCTCATTTTCCAATATCTATTATACATAGGTTTTTATTTACATTTTGGGTTTCTCACTCCAGAGAAACAATGGAATATTTAAACATGTGTGTCTGATTTATTTCACTTAAGAGTATTGTCTCAAGGTGCAATCCATTTACCTAGAAATGTCTTATTTATTCTTTATGGCAGAGTAATACTCCATTGTTGATAACATTTTTCACTCGTAGGTTCGCAGTGAAACCGATATGCATTGCTACTGGCATTATAAATCATAAACTTGTATTAGCATTATAATTTTATTTCTGAAAAACAATTTGGAAATATTCAGTAAGGGTCATAAAGATGTTTGTAAGTTTTTATTCTTGAATTTATGTATATATGTGTATATTTACTCTGTGTGTGTGTGTGTGTGTGTGTGTGTGTGTGTGTGTGTGTTTGTAGAGAAAGGTAAACACAGACACAAATTCATTACCGAAATTTGACCTTATGCAGTTCTGGGAGCTGCTCAAGCAGACTCTGTAAAGCTATTGTCTTTTTTGCCACTGGTTTTGGAACTTGAAGAGGAATCACTCAGGAAAGGAAGATGTATTAAAATGAGAAGCAAGGACAACTTGGAACCCATGAGGACCGACTGAAACATGTGTTAATTCCCACTGCTTCCCATCTTGATGGGGTTCACAAGGCTTAGTGCACTTCTTATTCTTTTATCTTTTATACTTAATCCATGCTTTATTAAATCAAGCTGGTTTTTGATACATTCAATGTTGTCCTAACTTTATATACACACAAACATAAGTAAAATATTTATAGGAAAAAATGGGATAAGGGAATATGTAATTGTAATACACTTTTGAATAATACAGTATATACATTTTGTAAAATATGTATAAGAAATGCATATATCATACATATTGTAAATATAAGAAATGGGATAGGAAAAAGGGAGGCAAGTGTATAGGAACATAATACATTTGTCCCTCCATATTCATGAGTTCTGCATTTGCAGATTCAAGTATCTGCAGATGTAAAAAAATTGCACTGGTTCTGAACACTTTCTTCTTGTCACTACGTATTCCCAGTATAACTACTAATATATGGTGTTCATTATATAAGTAATTTAGAGATAATTTAAAGTATATGGGAGGAAGTGAACAGAATATATGCAGATACGGCACCATTTTATATTAGGGACCTGAGCATCTGCACATTTTGTGTGTATGGGGGGGGACTCCTGGAAACAATTTCCATGGATACTGAGGGTGACTGCACTAAATTCAATAAAACTCAAGTTACTTTGAAAGTCAATTAATAATTAAATAAAGCTCTTACCTTTCAAACATGACAGATTTGATAAAATACTACTTAGGTTGAGTCTTGCTTGACTTCACTCAGTCGTCTTTGTATGAATCCTTCTTTTTCCTCCTCCTTCTTCTTCTGTTGTTTTGTGTTTACCCCAGGGTTTTTAAAAAACAGGTTTTAACTGATGTTCATGAAGAGAAATTAAACTGTGCCATTAATGAAAGGAAATCCCATCTAAGAAAGCACATTTCTTTACAGAGCTGTGTCATATCATCCTTTGGGCCCTCTGGTGGAAAAGTAGAATCAAGTTAAATCAAGTCTGAAATAAGGCCTTTTTAATTGTATCCTCTAGTATTATAGATGTAGGACAGTACTGTATCATACCTCTGTGAAGGTAAAATATCTTATACCTGCTTTATGATATATAATAGTGACCGTGCTTTATCAGAGCCATTTTTAATGTTGTTAGTATAGAATGTTTTCTTTCCAGATCATGATTAAGATACTAATAAAAAAAATGGTGCCAGGTACCATAACAGTAACAGAACTTTGCTGTTTTCTGGGTATTATTCTTTTTTTTTTTTAATGTAGTGTGCTGGATGTCTATAATTTTGTTCAGATGACTGCAGAACCTGGAAAAGCTATTGCAGCTATCGATGCATAACATACTGCTATTATTGGTCTTTTTATATAAATAAATATATATATATATATATACACATATATGTATAATTTGAATTTTTAGAAACTTTAACTGTGCTGTCAACTTTGGAAAAGTTATCCCAGTTTACTGTGTTGAGTTGGCATTGTACAGAAATTAATAGCCATATTGGTCTAGAAATGTTCATTTTTTCCCATTTGTACAGGGGTAACGCACTGTATTAAATATGTAAGGTCTTATTTATGTGGGTTTGATTACAGAAACTAATAAAGTATTCTCTAAATAATAAAAAAATTAAATAAAAAGAATGATTTCTGGTCGGGGATGTAGCTCAGCAGTGGAGCACCTGCCTAGCAAGTATGAGGCCATGAGTTCAACTTCTGGTACCAAAAAAGAAAAAGACAAAAAATACTCCTTAAAAATAATTATTTCCATGGTGGGCATGGAAATGATTCGACCTCATTTCTAAGAGGTGGCTGTGAAGTTGCTGCTTCCTGTAGGAAGAAAGGAGCCCTGAGCTGACAGAGTCCTGGAGATTCCAGATCTGAGAGTACATAACATGAATTACTATAGACAAAAATATCCTCACTTATCCAACACTTATCCAACACTTATTGAGCACCTACCTATGCTAGGTGCTCTTCTTGGTACTGGGTTTCATTAGGGAATAAAACACACAGAAGTGTTCTCACTTTCATGGAGCTTACATTCCACAGGGGAGGACAAATAATGAACCAAGTATGTCAGATGGTTCATAAGGACTAAGAAGAAAAAGTGGAACCTAGAATATATGAGCTAATAACTTTATGAGTGAGGTCAGGAATGGCCTCACAGAGAAGTTGACATTTGAGCATAGACCAGGGGAGGTGATGGAGATCCAAGCCATGAAATTTTTATGGAACAAGCGTCCCTGGTGGAGGACTAGAGGAGTCTTCCTCAGAGGTGATGGGTGCCATTCATGGCCTAATCTCTTCTCTTTCAGGCAAACAAAGCAGATGCTGTGACCATTGATGGAGGTTTGGTGTTTGAGGCCAGCTTGGCCCCCTACAATCTGAAGCCCATTGCGGCAGAATTCTACGGGTCAAAAGATGGTGCGTTCTGAGGTCCCTGGTGTGATACTGCAGCTATTGCGGAAGACAGGGACTCTGTCAGCATCACACTGGCAGAAAATGAAGTTGCTGGAACTCTGGATTGATGGAGGCTGTCTCTGATACTGACCCACAAGGATTAGGATATTGGCTCTTCCTAGGCAACAGCAAATGTCATGCACCCTGATGGAAATGCCTTTGCACTGTGGGGTTATCCACAGCCTGGGAAAGGGGTGCTATCCAGAGTCCATCCCTAAGTGTGAGGCTGTACTCCTAGCAGGCCCATCTCTGGAGGGAGAACATGAGGATCTGGCTGCCTCTTCCCTGTACTCTCTCCTCAATGTGCTGCAGAATATGGGCCTGTGTATGTTTTGAGGAGAGATTCTTGGGGAATCTACAAATAGACCTTTGCCTCTTTCCCATCAATGCTGTCAGTGCGTGAGCCCAGACTACCTTTAATTTTCAGGGTCCTGGCAGGGTTGTCCCTGCATCCTTCTTACGTATTCACCTTTGTGACTGAGCTGTAGGCAAAGAGGCAGTGGCCTCATTGAGTGGGAGCTGAAGCTTTTTCCCGAGAACACCTGCAGGCCCTGTCATAGTGGGAGCCTTCGAGATTCATGTCTCCACTGGCTTAGGGGAATTGGCAGAAAAATAAGTACAGTTGTCTCTACATTTATGGTGGGCTTATGTCCTAATAAACCCATTGTAGACTGAAAATATCCTAAGCTGAAAATGCATTAAATGCACCTAATTCACCAAACATCATAGTTTGCTAACACAGTATTTGTTTCACCTTATGATCACGTCGCTACCTGCCCCTGCCCAGCGTCATGAAAGATACTTGTGTCACATACCAATTGACTGGGAAAAGATCAAATTCAAAATTCAGAGAATAGTTTCTACTGACTGTGTATTGCTTTCACACACTGTAAAATTTAAAAATCAGATGTCTAGCCATTGTAAATCAAGGGCTATCTATGTATTTATTGGCTTGAAAAGGTTCAGTTTTTCTCCTTTTCTTCCTGCCTACCAGAGGAGGGTATAGCTCCTAGGATCCTCCAAAGTTCTACATTGTACACTCTGGAAGGTTGGTACTGAAGATGTGACATCTTCCTTTGGCCCTTCTTTCTGCCTGCTCCTTTGCAGATCCACAAACCCACTATTATGTTGTGGCTCTGGTGAAGAAGGGCACGGACTTCCAGCTGAACCAGCTCCAAGGCAAGAAGTCATGCCACACAGGCCTGGGCTGGTCTGCCGGGTGGATCGTCCCCATTGGCCTACTGCTTCCCTCTGGCTCTCTTGAACCAGGTCAGTTGGGCCTGGATATCCTCAAATAGTGCTCCTGTGCCAGTTGCACAAGTGGATTATGTTGGGGTCATAGAATCACTTACATGTATGTGTTCCATATTTTCCAAGATGGGATGAGGGTGTGTGCAATAGCAATCCATGGAAGCTGGTGGCTGAGCTTTCTCTTCCCTCAGGAAAGGTGCTTCTGTCTCTCTGAGCTCCTGTCAGTCCTGCCTCCTGGGATTTCCAGCAGTTTACCTTGACAAGGGTGATCCTTGAGGCCCACTCAGGAGAGCCAACTTCCCCCCATTTTCTGAGGAAGTTTCACTGTGGTTTCCAGTCACACTGCCAGCTCTCAGGTCTCTGTGCCTTAGGTGAGGGCTAGGGATACAGGCAAGGGAGGGGTGGCTACATAAGTGCCAAATTTTTGTTCTGTTATGATGGCCAGGGTGAGCCCTGGACACCTTTTCAGCTCTTGAAGATGATGGCCAAATCTTGATTTCTGCAAAAATGCATCTTTCTGAGCTCTGCTCTTTGTGTTTTGGCCATGACAAGGACAAGTGGCTGCAGGGATCTGGTGAAGTGCTGTAAGCTGGACCACATTTCTGGCCATATCATTTCCTTTCTTGAGGTGTTTACTTGCCTCAGTGACAGGTACTACAAGACATTTGTCTGAGTAGTTGTCCATTATGTCTCCTGCTCCCTCTCCAGCAAGCTGTTCTGGCTCTGTCCCATGGGTGCAGAAGGAAAGGTGGAGAGGGTCCATGTCCTGTGATAAGAAATGGGTTTTGGCGGCTGACTGGCCTGCATCTGTTCCTACCCTGTCTAGAGTTCTGCCAGCCCTCTGAGGGCCTCCAAGTTGGTGAGTTAGCAGATGTGGAACTAGGCCACAGCTGGGTTCACTGTAGGACAGATATTCTCACACCTGCAACAGATAAGCTGGAAACATTTTCATACACTTGAGGCCTAAGCCTACATGAGACAGTGTAGTGTCCAAATACCCAGGCACTGTGGGCTGTCACTCACTCTGGCAGGCTGCACCTGGCAGACCTGTGCACTTTTGTCTCCCAGGAAAACTCTGGGAAGTTGGCAGACCCATGGGCCCTTAGGGCCACTCTTGCATGTACACATAACCCTGAGACCTCAGCAGGCTCATACCCTGTGGTCCATGTCTCTGTTGAACAGGAGCAGCAAAGTTTTTCTCTGGCAGCTGTGTCCCCTGTGCAGATGCGAAGAAGTTCCCCAGCCTATGTCAACTGTGTGCAGGAAAAGGAACTAACAAGTGTGCCTGCTCTTCTCATGAACCATACTTTGGCTATTCAGGCGCCTTCAAGTGAGTGAGATCCTCCTGGTCTTCCTTACTCTGCATCTGGGAGGACAGAAGTACAGAGAGTGGAACAGGGTATGGCCCAGGCACCTGGGGCATCAATGTGACGGCCAGGGTCCGGAGTTCCTCCTCTGGTCTAGCCTCACTCCTAACCTCCTTCTGTGGGATCTTCTTAGGTTTCCCCAGAGCTTGGTGCCTTCTGTGTTGCCCTCTAGGACCAGGGGAAAGACTGGTGTCTGAGGATGCTGGGACCTGCAGACACAGACCTGGGCTCCTAGCAGAGCCAAAGGCCAGGGCCTTCCAGTGCACATCCTGCTGAGTATCCCCTGTGTCAGGGACCTGTGGCTGCCTCAGCTCCTGCAGGTGCCTCTCCATACTGTGTGCTCTGTGAGAGAAATGGCCACTGCTCAAAACTGGAGAGAACTGACTGGAACCCAAGGCTAACCAAAGTCCTTATCCTTCATGTAACTGACCCTAAGCCTTCAGTAAGAAGTAAACAAAAACCCATTTCTTTTGACTGCTTTCTAAGAGGAAGATGTGGTCTTTCCCCACCATCCCTCACAGGGGGTGCCTAGGATGTCATTCTCTAGGGCTCCTGCTGGCTTTAGATTTGGCACTAGCTGTGGGATTTAGAGACCTCTCAGAGAAGTCTATCCTCTGAGAGAGAGACTGATGCCCAGGAAGCTGGGCAAAGCCCCATGAGCCAGTGCTCAGGCAAACCCTCGACAGGTCTGCACAAGAGACAGGTGAAGGTGAGGGCCTAACCATGGTGTGCTGTTCCTCAGGTGCCTGGAGGATGGTGTGGGGGATGTGAGCTTTTTGCGGCACCTGACAGTGTTTGGTAAGTAAGTGCTGGTTGAAGAACCATGTGGGCCCCATCTAGCCAGAGGGACTGGCTCTTACATCTAGAGATGACTGATGGTGAGAGATTTAATGCTATAGGAAAGAGGTTGTGTGTTTCTGTTGTTTGTACTTTATTTATTGCCTAGTTTGTTCATCTCAGCTCATATCCTCCTGTCGAGGACATATCCTTCCTGCATCAGGGACCTGTGCCTACCTCTCTCCACTGTCCACTCAGTCCCCTGGAGGGACTTTGCCATGAACCCAGTGAACAAGATTTCCAAGCCTTTAAACTACTAACATTTGTTTAGTGTTGTGTTTTAAGATGCTGGGAATGAAACCCAGGATCTCAAACATGCTAGGCAACTGCAGTACCACTGAGCTATAATCCCTGCCCTAAAATCAAGTTTTAATAATCAGTTCTCTTAATCATTAAAATGTCAGTTTCAAAGTTAATCACACTCAAATTTACCTTTTACTGTAAACATCTCCTAAGTGCAAATACATGTTAAGAAATATGTAAACAGTTAATAGCTTGTTAGTACATTTAGAGTTAAGCCTGTGCAATGTATTATTACCACAGACAAAAATGCATACCTTCCTTATTATTGTATTTTCTCTTTTATGTGAGCATGTGTGTGTGTGTGTGTGTGTGTGTTGCTAATGATTTAACCAGGACCATGTGCATACTAGGTAAGTAAGTATTCTCCTACTGAGCTATATTCCCAACTTTATTTCTATATTTTTAAAAAAACGCTTTTTCAGCATCTTAGAACAATTCACCAGAAACAAACAAAATAGCATTTTAGGTAAGTAGACTTTGCAGATTCTGTGTTTTATATTAAATATCTGTACCACTCAAAATATTTAAACTATTTAAAACTCAAATGTGTTTTCACTGTGCTAAGCTCATTCTTATAACAAATGTCTGCTGTGTCAAGGAAGAGTTTTTGACCTGACAAGTTATGTTGGCCTTAGTTCTTTACCACCTAAGTGTCTTTCCCTAACATGATAATTTCAGTGCCCTTTTTCTCTTTTCAGCCATTCACAGTTCATTGTCTCCTCATTATTACACAAGGACCTGGTTTGTTCACAGTTTGCTAAGTGATGCATGTCTTGTTGTCAACAATTTTTTTCTTTCTTTCTTTCTTTTTTTTTTGGTGCCAGGGATTGAACTTGGGTCCTTGCCTTTTCGAGGCAGGCACCAGAATCACTGAGCTAAATCCCTGGTCCTGTTGTCAACAATTTTAATTAGTGAGGTCACCCTTGGGTCTCATCTCCCAGAATCAAGTTGTTCTGAATAACCATTATGTCTTTTAGATGCTTCAGATGCTGCGGTGATGCCAGTGGGCAGCATCTTTTAGCACTGACCCTAAAGAATTTACAAGTATCCTCACTTTGTTGCCATAGCAGGTTGTCCCAGGCCATCCTGATTTAACCTTTGCCAAAAGTCATTTGTCTGCTCTTCTGTAAGACCCCTGCTTGCCTTTCAAGGAGAATGTTGCAGGAGACTGCACGCTGAGCCTTAGGGTGCCAGTGAGTGTTGGTGGTGAGTCACAGTCTCCTGCTGCCACTGCTGGGCCCTCAAGTAACCAGTGTTGAAAAGTTATTTATTTCTGAGGTCATTAGATCATATCAGCTTTCAATATTTAATTTTAATGTTACTAAATCATTTAAAATTTTTTCTTTTAATATAAAATTATTTTTTGTAGCATGCTGTGTTATCCCAGGATCTAGTTGTACAATTTGTCTTTGAATATGAGATTTTATCAGCCCTATTGACCTTCTGTCTCAGTTTTCTAGGACCATCAGAACAAAGTACCATACAAATGGGGTGGTTTAAGCAACAGACATTCAGCATCTCGTAGTTCTGGAGGCTGGACTTTCAAGGTCAAGCTGTTGGCAGCACTCATTTCTCATGAGGGCTATGAGGGAGATTCTGTCCCAGGCCTCTCTGCTAGCTTGCTGTCTATCTTTGGTGTTCCTTGGCTGGTAGACACATCCCCCCATTCTCTGCTGACTTCATGCACCCTGAATGCATGTCTCTGTCCATGTTTCCCTTTTTGTAAAGACATCAGTCATATTGGATTAAGGGCCTACTCTATTCCATTATGACTTCATTTAACTAATTGTTCCTGAAAGGAGTCTATTTCTAAATAAGGTCCCATTATGCAGTACTGAGGATTAGGACTTCAACCTATAAATGTGTTGAAGCCACAATACCTTCTAATACCTTTGCGGTGGGAGTCAAGAGGCCTCTGTCTTTATACCTCTAGAGTGCTGGCTTCTAGGCTTCCTTTCATTCGTCAGCCTTCTCACTGCATTCCCCCAGCAGGTCCTGCCTCCAGGAGTATGCTGCTGCTTTAGTGGAGGACCTGGACTGTCCTAGTATGGCATGGTGTCAGCCCTCATCTCCAGAATGGGCTAATTATATCTGTCAGCCTCTTCCAGTTGTTGTGAAGATTAAATGAAGTTGAGCACCAATGCCTTGAGCACAGTCTTTGGTGGGCTGTGAGTGCTCACTGCACATTTGCTGTCACTTTTTCTACCGGCAGAGCTGCAGAGAAGTGAGGCAATGGAGGGCAGGGCAGGCATGCCGCTCGACCCTGTGCCTTCTTCCAGTAAGGTTGTGAACCCATCATTCCACTGTCAAGACCACCAGTTCCTCATTTGTATGAAATGTGTTTGGAATAGATTCTGCCTCAGTCACCTTCAGGTCACACATTTTATGGTTCACTGGGAAGTGGGCACTGCAGCTCATGGCTCCATGTGCAGTCTGCTCACCTGGACTTTCCCTTCCCAGAGGTCCTTCCCAAGAAGGCTGACAGGGACCAGTACGAGCTGCTCTGCCGGGACAACACACGGAGGCCAGTGGATGAGTATGCACAGTGCTTTCTGGCCAAGGTCCCTTCTCACGCTGTCGTGGCTCGGAGTGTGGACAGCAAAGCGGATTTGATCTGGGAGCTCCTCAGCAAGGCCCAGGTATCCCCACTGCTGTCCTCCTCTCCCGCTTGGATTAGAGGTTTTCCTCCTTGCATTCTTGCCTTGAAGAATTCCTCATTCATCTAAGACAGTGAGAGCCTTGCAATGACCCACTTCCAATGCATGACCCACTTCCCTGACAAGGCATTCAGTCTGTATTACTGCAGATCACATACAGCCCTCAACTGGCATCACTAACCCGGAGGCTACAGACTCTCTGCAGAAGCTCCTCTTGCCGTGTTTTATTATTTTCAATTCTAAACAGGTCCCTAGCATACAGCACAGATGGACCTTCCACCTTCATGTAGTGGTCCTCATTACATCACTGGTCTGTGATTTCTCCCTCCTGACTTCCTTCCTATGGGTCACATGCAGGTCTGTCCTGCAGTAGTGGCAGTTATACTATCCTGTCCCATCTCTGTCAACACTCTGGTCAGTGTTGGGGTTTCAGAAATAAACTAGACAAAGACTTGCCCTTGAATCACCCAGGATGAGCGTGGGAGATACAAAGAATACAGGAATGGATTGCCAGCAGATGGAACCACACAATCTGGGTTCATCTAGGACAGAATGAGAACTTTGTAGAACACAGAGAAACTGATTTGAAAGATGTATCTGGGAAGATTCCTGAGCCCTGAGGAGTAGGCTGTATGCACCCAAAGGAAGTGTATGTTGGAGGGGCAGTTACCCAAGAGGACAGCAGGTGATATTTCATACAGAGCCTCTGCAAGAGCGAAAATCAGTCATTTAAAAAACATATAGATAGGTGCTACCATCAGGAACAGTCAGGAATGGCGTTGGACCAGGCAGCTGGATCATAATCAAAGCTTTTTTAGGCCAGAAATGGGAAGGAGTTATTTGATGCCTCACAAGTCTTCGTTTAGTGGCAGGCCTGGTGTGAGGGGACAAGCCCAGGATGCCTGCCCTCTAGCCATGATGGCATGGTACTGGATCACCAGCCACTTCAAGATGAAGACTACCTTCGCCACTGGGGCCATTAGTAAAGAATGAGGCAGCCCTTCACTGCTGCTCCACAGGAACCCAGAGCAGCAGCCCACATGGGAGAGGGGTGCTGCCTGACCTTCAGCCACCCCACCCCTTCGTCAGATCTAGGGGACAGCCCCTGGCAGTCTCCCTGTGGCCCACAAGGTAGACACTAAGGATGAGCGAAGTGTTCCCTGGAAACTTGATTATGCTGTGAGCAGCAAGGACAGTGGACTCCCTGGCCCCATCTTCATTCTCAGGCCCTGATCGTCAGCTCTCCGTCTGTGGGGAGGCACTCTAAGACCCCATGGATGTCTGAAACTCTGAACAGTACCAAGCCCTACACACATGCACCCCAACCTGTGCTTGTGTCCCCATAAATCCACTGTAATGTCAAAAAATAATAAACTACTGAAGTTGAGGATCATCGGTCTCGTTTTTCCTATATATTCAAACCTATGATAAAATTGAATTTATACATAATGCAGGGTAAGAGACTAACAACAGTATATGACAATATACTGTAATAAAAGCTGTGTAAGACTCACTGTTTCTTGAATTTTCCCTTTGATATTTTTGGAATGTGGTTAACTGCAGGTAACTGAAACCACAGAAATTGTGACTGTAAGAGGGATGACTGGGTGTCTCCCCCTTTCTGTTCCCTTACCTGGTTTCAAGTTTGTTTTATTTTTACCTTAATGTCAGCCTCCTTCTCTCACTCTTCCTTTTACCCTTTGAACAGAAATACTTCGGAAAAGATACGTCGTCAGAATTTCAGCTTTTCGGCTCCCCTCATGGGAAAGACCTGCTGTTTACTGATGCTGCCCATGGATTTTTAAGGGTCCCCCCCAAAATGGACACCAAGCTGTACCTGGGATATGAGTATTTTTCTGCCATTCAGCATGTGGAGAGAGGTATGCATGGTCCTGAGAGGGATCTGGCCAGCCTGGGTCACGTGACAGGGCAGGAGTCACTGACTGAGGCTCTCCTAGTGCCTGTGAACTTCACCCAGCTTTACTGGTCCTCAGAGTCCACAGGAGCCACCAAGTGAACTAGGTTATGAGGAGACTTTCTGCTGGGCCTAAGTTATTTGATTATAAAATGTGTTTTTCTTTCCACCCCTCCCTACCTCCTTCCATTCCTCTTCTCCTTCCCTTTCTATTTTCCCTTCCTCTTCCTTCCTGGGCCTTATACATGCTAGGCAAACACTCTATTGCTGACTATCCAGCCCCTACAGAAAGGCATTGAAGACCTTCATATGGTAGACAACTTGAATTAGTGATGGACTTGGTTCTTTTTCATTAACCAGGCCCATCCTGCTCAGCTACAGTTCTATTTGACAGGAAAAAGAATCTATTCTAAACTGAAGTGGAATCACAGCCAATTCCACCATTAGATGCAGAACTAGAATAGAATTCTAGAGTTTTTTAAAGCATGGCTCCTTCCTTTTACTGGATCCCCACAGTTCATTTCTTTCCTTCCTCTCTATTTTTTCCTTCCATATAGTTAATCTGTAGTTATTGAGCATCTGTAAGAGGACAGCCCAAGTATTAGATGTGATGAGTAAAGCCGCTGGGTGAGGGGAACCAGCAGCCCCCAAGAGGAATATGACTACCCACTGGGCCCTGATCCCTTCCTGGGGAGCCCAGTCCAGTGAGCAGAAACCCTAGCAGGACCTGGTTTGGACTGGACACCATAGGAGATGATGCCTGGGGTGAGGTATGTAGGCGAGGAGCTCTGCCTTCGCTGCTCTTCCTGAAAATTAGACATAGGGAACACAGGGAAGCAGAAATGAAATAGGCAGCTCTGCTGCTATCCCTGAGAACCCTGTCGAGAAGCACTGCATTTGGGCTTCCCTTGAATCCCTGCCCTACTCCACTCCAGGTGTGGAAGACTCCCGGAGGGTGCAGTGGTGTGCAGTGGGCCACCATGAGAAGGCCAAGTGTGCTGAGTGGAGTGCGCTGAGTGGTGGTGCCTTGGTGTGTACCACAGAGGAGACCCCTGAAGACTGCATTGCTGCCATCATGGTAGGAGGCCCCACTTCAGTAGCTGAGCTCAGGCCCTCAGACACTCAGTGATTACCCAGTGTGGCACGAGAGAGGCCTTCCTCAAGAACCTCCTCCTCAACCTCCAAACTAGTACTTGTGGTCTGTTAGCCCTCATTCTGCAAACCCCCACCCTGCCCATCCCTTACACCCCTTCAGCTCAGAGCCAGCCCATGACCTGGATTCCTTGGGGCTCAGCTCAGGAGTCCAGGGAGCTTGTGGTGTGTTCTGTCCAGAAGCCTTGAGAAGTGGGGGTACATTTAGAGTGCAATCAGAGCCACATGGACTGGGAATACAGAGCAACATTTTCATTCTTAATTTTATTTCTGATTCATAAAAAATTACATGGTGCGCCAGGGGTGGCGCACACCTGTGATCCCAGCATGCGGGAGGCTCAGGCAGGAGGATCACTGTGAGTTCGAGACCAAGCCTGGGCTACATAGTGAGTTCCAGGTCAGACTCAACTGCATAGTGAGACCCTGTCTCAAAACACAAAAACAAAACAAAAAAGTACATGGTGATAAATGAAAAATAAGTAAAATAGCTCATATGTTCATCATTCAGAGATCATTACATAATTTCTGAGTGATAAAGTTGTAATGTTATTAAGTTTCCATTTCTTCTGAGCAATTGATATTTTTGTGACTAGGAAAGAAAAAGTGATAAATGAAAGACTGAAAAACTGACAAACTTAGGAGACTGTACAACAGTCTTTCTTGACTTGATGAGATCCTAATTTTGGTAAACCTCCTGGCAGCAACTTTTAAGATTAAGATCTTGCTAGTTATACAGTCTCCTAAAATTGTCAGTTGTAGGGGTTACAGAAGGAACATTCAAGATAATTTCCTGGAATTAGAGGACTTGGTTTATTTTTCCAGATCAAGATGGAACCAGTCAAGGAGGTCCCTGTTATACTTTGAACTTATACAGAGTTACTGGAGTCTGAGATGTGGATGAGATCCCATAAGAAAAGCTTGGAGGGTTTAGGAGTAAATAGGATTGGGGAAGAGCTTGAATTTGAGCTTTTTGGTGGTCCAGAGGAAGAAGGGGTTGAGTGGACTTTTCATTTGTCTCAGGTGTGATGCTATCATTGATCCCATGAAACTGATTGTCTTGTGGCTCTTGATAGGGATGGCCTGGTTTCATTGAGAAGTTACATGTTGGCTCAGGGTTAATGTAAGGGGGGGCTTGAAATAAGAAGGATGTATCAAGCGTTATGAGACCAATAATTGTGTAGGAAATCATAGAGAATTTAGAGAAGTTAATGAAATATGTCTGAATGGCTTTGGTGGCCTTGTCTGGCAGGGGTATTGGGTATGATTTAAGAGGGTCATATCTTTAAAGGTTGGGTTTAAATATTTTTGTACAGTAATTTGTGTCTGAGTGTTTATTCAGGTTGGTTTAGGAGTGGCGATTATGTATAAGCTGAAGATGATAGAGATGCGCACAACAGAAATGTTAGGCCAGAGGGGAGATTTATCCTGTTTAAAAGATTGAAGGTAAGATTGAGGGAGTGTCCAGGCTAGAAGTAAATCTTTTATCGGGGCTAGCATTTTCAAACAAGAGAAAAGCGTGTCATTACTTTCTCATATCGGAGATACAATACCTGATACCCACAATTTAAAAGGTGAAAAAAGCTCATTTTGGCTCACAGTTTGTAGAGGTTTCAGTCCATAGTCAGCTGGCTCCAAGGCAGGGTGGCATGGCAGAGGGTCATGGCAGGGCAGAATTGCTCATCAATGGCAGGCAGGAAGCAGAGCAACCAAGGGAGGAGAGGGGGAGATAGACTCTTCCAGGCTACACTCCCAGTGACCCACCTCCCCTGACCAGGTTTTACCTCCTGATATCACATATAGCTATAAACCCACCAGTGGACTAATCTACTGATAAGTAGCACACCTCCATGATCCAGTCACCTCCCCAAACCTCATCTATGGGACATGAGGCTTTGGGGGCATACCTAATACAAACTGTAACAGGGAGCATGAGATTGGGTAGATCATGATGAGTTTGGAGGTGGATGAACTGAGACCCAGTGGTGGGGGTGGAGCTTCTAATCAGGCCAAGAGGTATTAGGAGGAAACTATGAAATCTCTAGTTAGGAGTCTTTGAGGAGTAGTACAATAAGATCAGAGAGGAATAGGGAACAGATCATGGGCTACCTCACATTTGCTCATGTTGATTGGTTTCTTTTGGGATGGCCATGAAATAGAGAGATGTAGGAGTCAGGAGTTGGGATTTCCACTTGTGGGAATTGTGTGGAGTTTGGCTTTTTTTTTTTTTTCTTAGATATGAATTTTAGTCTGGAGAAACTAATTTAAGAGGGAAGACCTGAAAGTTTTGTGGCTGTTGGTATGGTAAGGATAACTATACAGGGTCCTTGTCACTTTGGTTTACAGGGTTTGGGGTTGAAGATTTTGCAGGTAGATGCTATCTCCTGGTAGGATTGATAAGGGAGTGGGAATTGTCATCAGCTTTGAGGAAGAAAGTTTTATAGACGTTGGCTGATTAGGAAGAGCATTGGTAGGTAGTTTCTGAAAAAGGTTGTATTGGCAGAGTGTTGCCAAGAACAAAGGGATGCCCATAAATCAGTTTGAATGAGTTGAGGAGATGGAGTGAGTGGGCAATAGCCTGGATGTGTAGGAAGACAATGGGTAGGAGATCTACCCATGTTTTTTGGGTTTGTAGCATGAGTGCAATGAGTTAGTGCAGGATGTAAGGAATGAGAGATATAGACTGTAAGATATTGGACTAGAAAAAGCCTGGGCTTTTCTAATTAGGCCAGTTGCTCCCACTAAAATATGCAGATAGCTTGGCCACCTAGGACCATTTTGTTTAACTGTTTTGAGAAGTAGGGTGAAGGTTGGTTGTATTTTTTTGTGCCAAGAAATTTAGCTAGGAGCTCAAAACCAATATTTTTTAAGCATTTATATATAGGTAGAAAGGTTTATTAGGGTCGGGGAGATTGAGTTCAGGTTGGCCTTGAATTCACTATGTAGCCCAGGCTGGCTTTGTACACAGAGTAATAATCCTGCCTCAGCTTCCTGATTGCTAGGATTACAGGCATGTGCCACCACATCCAGCTCAGGAAAGAATGGGTTTGTTTCTTTGTTTGCTTGAGACAGGGTCTCACTGTGAAGTTCAGGCTGGCCTTGAACTCATTGTGTAGCCCAAGCTGGTCTCGCACTTACAGTGATCCTCTGTTTTAGCCTCCCTTGTGCTAGGATTACAGAATGCACCACCACACATGGCTTGGGATATGATGGTTTTGTATCTACTTTTATCTTGTGTTACTTTTAGTCCTTATTAGTGTACTGTTTTATGACTGTCAAGTAGGTGCTGGACAGAAATATGTTATCAAAGAAAATTGGGTGCTGAGAATTTTAGCTCTTTTGTCACCATGATGAATCAACAAAGTCAAATCATTGATAAGGGACAAAGTTGTCACAACTGTAACTCCAGTGAGCTGAGTGGGGATATCTTTAGGGGACTTTTTTGAGTTTGATAATTACCAGAGGTAGGGTGACATTAAGATCTAAACTGTGTGATGAGATCCAAATAAGTTTTTGTAGAAGATGTAGGCATTGGTTTCAGACTTATTGTTGGAAATTCTAAAATAAATAAACTGGAGAAGACAGTTGTACAAACATGAACCAAAAATAATTATTTAAGAATAGTAATTGGTAGCCATTTTTAAGAAAAAGAGTTTAAAATCCAGACCCAAATAACTTTTGTGCTAGTTACAACCAGGCACTTAAGCATAAGAACCCTTCCTTATAACCTCTTGGCTCTATTTATTTTTAATGGGGTTGACATAAGTGACTCCATTTTGATTTTGACAGCTTTAAATTTTTAAAAATACCCACTCCTGTCCTGAAGGCATTATTAATTAATCATAGTTTATTATTATCCCTCATTGCTAGAATACTGTTCCTGTTGTTGATCTTATCTTTTACCTAGGGCTAATAACTGCTTAGGACTTTATATGACCTTGAATGACAAATTATCTTAGTATACACAGAACCTAACAGAAAAGCAAGCCAGTTGTAATTCATGAACCATCCCAAAGCTGTTTATAAGAAATATTTTAGGCAAGTCCATCAAACAAAAATATTAATTTAAACCACAGAATTTAAAGTAAATTTGCCAATTGACTACAATGTTTTAATGTCCCCTCATTACCTTTTTATGGGTGGTCAGGGAGGCTGTTTTGTCTTTTGGCCTCCTAAGACAATCTCAGGTTATTACTTGTTAGACATAGTGTAGGCTGTATGTAACCCCAGAGACACTTTTTACCTTACGTTTGGCCTTGTAGTTTGACTTATTCTCAATACCAACCTAATACCAACCTTTAGATTCCAGCTTGAACTCAGCCTAGTGGTTTAAACCCTTTCTTTTAATCTTTACCTTTTTGGCATGTTTTCCCTTGACATTAATTTTTTGTTTTATTTCAGTTTTTTTCTTGTATTTACTTGGTATGGGCTTGGAGTTCTCAGTTTAGTCTTTGTTGTTGCCATGGCTGATGTGATCTTGCACAGATTTTTAAAAATATTGTGTTGTTTACTAGCAAACAATAGTATTTTCCCTAAGCCTGGAGGTTGGGAACCCAGGGAAAACCTGGAAAAGCCACTCATCATAGAGAAAACTGAAATAAATTGGTCCCAGCGCTGCTTTTTCAGCCACAGTAGGAATCTTGTCTGGCACATCCAGAGTTGATTATGAACACATATTAACAGGCAAACAAACAGATGAGACACGTAAGATAATTCTTTCCCTAGGGGATACCAAAGTATGTTTTAGGTGAATCACAACAGAGATCTCTTACATTATTTGTGTCATTTTAATAGTCTACAGCTACACTAATGAGAGTTAGAAGGCAGAGAAGGCATTAGAGTATGAAGGGGGACAGAGACTGAAAATGACAGATCAGACACGGAATTGGGGCCTGCAGGTGGTTGAAGCCCAGTCATTTTTAATTTGGGAAAAGTAAAAAAAAAGGATAAGGGAACATGTATGTGGATAATGTCCTCTGCCCCTGCCATCTGCTGGAGGATGAGGACATAGACCCATTGACGTTCTGGTTTAGGAGGGAGTTGATGGGCATGAGAGAAAAGGAGGGTAAAGAGAGAGGGGAGGGGGCCAGGAGGAGACCTGTGATGGTGGAGGTGAAGAAGGGGCCTAGGGTTGAGGGGCATATGGTGGGGAGCATGTGGTCCACAGGATCAAATTCAGGATTAGGGACAGAATTAGTGTTAGGTGTAGGTTGATGGAGGAGGAGAATTGGAAAGTAGTACAGGATTGAGAGAGAGTTGACTGAGGAGGTAAAAGAAAGCCTACACACAGGGAACTTTGGACCACTTGCCATTGCACTGGATAAATCTGTTTAAGTCTCAGTTTAAAGTCCTGTGTTTAGGTTATTGATTACTATCTCTTCATAGTGTTAGAGAAGAAAATAATGTTTTTTTGTTTGATGTCTCCCTCTCCTGGGTAGAGGGTTTTTAGGTTTTTAAAAAAGACAGTCAGAGGGCCAAAATGGAGTTACCCATAGTGGAAAGGGAAAACAGGAGTAAAAGAACAAAGAGATAGCTTGAATTTGTGGGGTTTGTTTTTCTCTGCAGAAAGGAGAAGCAGATGCCATGAGCTTGGATGGAGGATTTGTCTACATAGCCGGCCAATGTGGCCTGGTGCCTGTCCTGGGAGAGAACTACAGTAAGGAGAGGGGAGCATCTCTCTGTGTTTTCATCTCCCTGCACCATGGGCAAGATGGGATAGAAACAAGGAAATAATATAATTCTGTAATAGGATAATAACAACTACTGTCAGAGTATAGGGAGCTAATAGGTAAAAATCCCTCTTCCCAGAGTCAGAACCAGATAAGACATAGATGCAAGAGTTAGGAAGAGGCCTGGGGATTTAGCTCGCAAGTGCAAGGACCTGAGTTCGATCCCCAGTACCCCCCCAAAAAAAAGAGGAAGAAAGAGCTGAGAGAGTGATGTTGGAGCAGAGCCCTCACAAGACTTGCCAAATAGTTTGTGTTAGAGTTGCCCACTGACTCAGAAGCAGATTCCAGGACTTACACAGCTAACACAAAGGAAGCTTTGCCAAAATGCGTAGTGGTCTCTGCCTCTCCTCCCCTTCAGTAGGCATCTTATTTTCTTTCTTTTGCATTGCCTGAGTATTGAGGAGATTCTGGAGCAAAATCTAACATTGAAATGGCAAAGTGTAGGTGGAGAGGAGGTTACATGGGCCTATAGAACCTTGGCTAGTTGACAACCAATGAGATTGCTTACTTGGTGCTTCTCATTTTTTTCTTGAAGCCTGACACTGAGTAGCTCACGACTTTGGATGGAGTAATACATGAGTTTAATGCTGTGAACTTTATATCTTTCTTTTTAGAAGCTAAAGGTAGCAATGAGCGGCTTGGGTCTAAATGTGTGAATTCACCCTTGGAAGGTGAGTAAGAATTAGTAACACTGGGGCTCCCTTGTTGGGAATAGGGTGAAGAAAGCCTTAAAAATAAGCAAAAGTTATGAGTTGCAGAGGGGAAAGAAGTCATAGTTCATTGTTAATATGCAAATCTTTCCTAGAGTTACACTAACTGTATCTGTAGGGTACTGTATGTTTTACAAAGGACTCCTGTTTGCACTACACCCATTTACTCGCCTCAGCAACCCTGCGGTGTAGGCGCTATTGTCCCATGTCACATAGATGGGGAGAGTGAGGCTCAGGGTCTGCGTGGTTTGCACACAGCCACACAGCCCTACAGGTGACTGCATGTGAGCTTGAAAGGAGGTGGAGGGACTGGAAACCCTGAGCCCTCCTGACACCACCCCACTGCTCCTGCACATGCAGGCTGCTCATCTGTGAAGTTCAGCACTGGGCAGGAGCCATGCCTGGCATTTCTGGGGCTGAGTAAAGGACTGGAGAGAGGAGGAAAAGGCAAAGGAAACCCATCTTTTGGCTTGTAGCCAGCTGGAATTGAGAGTCACCCTGGTCTTCAGCAGAGGAGACCACTTCCAGGTGCAGGTTCTCCTATCTTTTGCCTGCAGATAGGCAGAGAGGGTCTGTGCCCCTCCTCAAGAACCTAATCCTGTAAAACAGATAGAGCAGTGGTCTCTGGGCCAGTGATATCACCATCACCTGGGGACTTATTGGAAAAGAAAATTCTTGAGCCTGACCTTAGACCTGCTGTGCCAGAAACTCTATGGATGGTGCTAGCAATCTATGCTTTAAGAATTTGCAAACCACTATGATAAAAGATCCTGAGGTGAAAACCAGGGGCTTACTTGAGTTTAGTGTTTCTTATGAGATGGAGATCTGGGGAGCTGAGGGGATTTGGATCCCACAGCACAGGCAGAATCACGTGGACTCTGTCCCCTTCTCATCACCTGTGTTCCACAGAGGTTCCTGAGTGCAGCTAAAGTGTCATTCCCTTGGTTACCAGCAGCAGCTGCAGATAGGACCCTGTCACTCTCCCTTTCTGCTTTCATGGCTGCAACAACTCTGAATTGTGTCTTCCTGCCCAATCCTAAGAGTGATTTTCCATCAATCATGTATTCTAGTCTAGTGATTTAGAGTCAGAAACAACCTGCTTGCTTCAAGAGGAATTGGAATTTTCAGAAACTGGTGATACGAAAATTCAGATCAACAGGGATGCTTTGAAGACAGTTCAGACACTGACAAGATGGCTTACTGTGATGGAGAAGTTTCCATCTGAGTAGAGAGAGAAGGGGACTTTGTGTGTAATCACCAAGTTTCTCTCTCATGCATACATGCACATTTGCATACAGAGATGGATGACAACAATCAATGCCAAGCCAGCTCTGGAGGCACAGGCCTGAATTGCCAGCACTCTGGGAGGCTGAGGCAGGAGGATTGCGAGTTCAAGCCCAGAATGGGAAAATTAGTGACTTAGTGAGACTCTGTCTCGAAATAAAAATTAAAAAGGGTTGGGGACAGAGCTCAGTGCAAAGACTTTAGGTTCAGTCCCCAGTACTGAAAACAAAACAATGCCAGAGGGACATCTGAAGAGAGGCCCTGCAACATTATTTGGCTCCTAACTGGTATAATAGAGCTCAGACAGGTAGGTATGGGCTGGCTATGGCCTCAGGGGGATCTGCTCTGGTACTGCCTCTGCCATTAGCAGCACGGCTAGAGACGGCTAGAGATCCTGCCATTCCCATCCCTAACACAGTGCTTGGGATAGCACATCAGATCACCCTCAGTTGCCCTCTGGGATAGGTTTCAGCATCACTCTTCTACCAAGGAGATATGTAGGCTCCTAGGTGCTAAATGGCTGAGGAAATTAGGAAGAACCTAGCAAGGCAGATCTTAACCACTGCCTTGATTCCCAAGCTGCCACAAGGACTCCCGACTTTCCCATGCTTGAATATGTAGAAATTGGATTGATAAAACCTGGGGAAAGGCAATGTGTACCTGACTCTCTAAAAAGATTTAGGAACCAAATCTTACCAATTTTAGCCTGAACTTCAGGCCTTACTCAACAAGCACCATTCAGTTATATAATACTTGGATAGAAATGCCTGAAATAGTAATCCTATTCTCATTAGAATCAAGAACAAAGTAAGAATGCCCTCTTTCAACAAAGATCATTCACATTATTTTCAAAACTAATGCATTAAGATAAAAAAGGCTTTTTTAAATATTGGGGAAGGAAGAGATTAAATTGTTACTATTGGAAGATGCTTTCTGTAACCCTAGAAAATCAGACAATATAAAAAATTATTAAAACTCTTGAATTCCAATTCAATAGAAATACTTAAGTGTGCACTCTTATATGTACAAAGAGTTGTATAAGTAAGCAGCTATGATAGGAAAAATAGGTTACAATGTAAATATAATGTATGATGCATCAATCCAATAGGACATAACTTAGATTTAACCAGTAACAGAATAAGATATCTGTGTCTATTTCTACTGAATTTGAGATGTCCACAACATATTATTGAAGAACAAAGCAACTTGCTGAAAATAATGCATGTCAATATTTCATTAAATTAGCAGGATTTGTATGTAAATATGTGTGTACATGTATGTAGATGTGACTAAGGAACAGTAGTGTATGTTTGTTAGGCCCAGGACCTAATAATGATAGCTATCGGGGAGGGGGTCCTGCTAGAGTAAGACGACAAGTACAGGATATTCTCATTCTCCAGAGAATGATAAGTCAGGTGCCAGCAGCAGCAGCAGCAGCCCTTGAATACATTTGCAGAGGTCCCTGGAGGTACAGAAGTTGGGTCTTGGGACTCTATGCATACACATAGACACACACACACACACACACGCACAAACCTTTTAAATGAATATACTGTAATCAATTTCCAAATATGTACATTTATATATACAGGTTGTATATTATATATTTATATGTAAGATATAAATATAACTTGAGTCTTCTCTGAAATGGCCTTGCTTTCTGCTTGAACAGACAGGCAAGTACATCAGCAAGGAATTAGTAAAGAGGCTATTTAAAAATAAAGCACCCTTTTCTATGGGCAATGTGATTATTCTGTCATTCCGTACTATAAACATGTTTAAATTATATGTATGGGAGAAAGGGTCCAAGAGATGCAGGAGGGGGAGGAGAGGGAGTTAAAGAATTAAGAAATGTCATGTACACGTACCAACTCTCTGTGATAAAGGTGATCATTATGTACTACAATATGTACCAATAAAAATAGTTTTTAAAAGAACACGAATAGTTTTACCAAAATAAAAAATGAGCACTCCTTTAAGCAGGAGGGAATTTAAAATGGGGAATTAAACATTAGCAGAAGTAGACGCCAAGTTCCTCTGACTCCCGCCAGAGAGTAATGGAACTGAATCCCTAGGAGAGCTGCCTCTTCCAAGGTTCCCCCCAGTACTGTGAATTCAAGACACGCCTGCATCTGTGATCAAGGGATAGAAAGTCAGACCCAATATTGCTGTTGCTGCTGCAGCTCCTTCAACAGTGTCTAATCTGCTAGGGTGGAGAAGGGATACTAGAAAGCTGCATAGAAAAACCTCACACTTCCAGACTTTGTTTCCTAGCAGAAAGAAAGAGCCAAAGGAGAAGGCAGAGGATCTCTGCATCATTTCCACCTTCTCTGTCTTACAATCCTGATTTATACTAACGATATAGCTGCAAGAAAATACTAAAAGTGTAGTTTCCACAACCCTAGCCAACAGAAATGAAATGGAAATGGAGAATACCCAGTTCCTGTCATCCACCACATCCAGATGTCATTAAATGGCCTAGTTGAAGAGAGGCTGGTCAGAACTCCCTGTTCTCCCTAAAAAGAACAGAAATTGTATCTCACTGTCTCTTCTGCAAGGTTATTATGTTGTGGCTGTGGTTAAGAAATCAGATGCTGATATCACCTGGAACTCTCTGCGAGGCAAGAAGTCCTGCCACACTGCAGTTGGCACTTCTGCAGGCTGGAACATCCCTATGGGCCTAATATACAACCAGACTGGGTCCTGTAAACTCGGTGAGTGTGTTCTGGAGAAGTTGTGGTAGTCCCTTCCGTGGGCCTGTACTTGGGTAGGGGAGAAATGCAGTTCTGATGAAGGGCAAAGTATGCTCTAAGTCAAGTAGTGTCAAGGGCTTGACAAAGAGTGAGGGCTGAGCAGGTCCTCTCCTTTCTCTTCCTCCACTTGTTTCTTAAGAGAATGCCTTGGTTGTAAGGACAGACTTTAGTGAAACAACCCTATTTGTTATATCTTACAAATGGCTCGGGGAACAAACAAGGCACAGGTTGGGTTTTGTGTGTGTGTGTGTGTGTGTGTGTGTGTGTGTGTGTGTGTGTGTGTGTGTGATTTTTCACATATAAACCAAATTGTCCACTTTCTTAATTGAAAATCTACCTTGAATGTATGTCTTTCAAGTCTTTCATGTTCATCCTGTCTCTTGGATTCCCATGTTAGTCATTTCAGAACACTCTTGTCAGTACCTAAAAGGGTTTTTCTCTTTCCCCACCCATATGATAAATCCCAACCCTGCATGAGCCCAATTACCTGCTCTTCTCTGCAGCTGAGCAGCTGCTGGGGAACTTCACAAGGCAGGACAGCAGCTGTCTCTTTGGAAATGCTTTAACTACTGGCCTTTGCAGGCCCCCAACCTTCATGAGTGCCCCATTATTCCTCCCCGACCGCATTCCATAGTTATCCCAATGTCCTCATTGTCCATAAATCTCAGAGTATATCCTTCTGCCAGTCTTTCTCAGTAGATGATCTATCTTGCACTTGCAGAAGACAGGCGAGGCTGTGGGCCTCCAGACAGCTGACTCTTCCCTCCATCCTTCCTACCTAGCCCATCCCTCTGTCTGCATTTGGGTGTGGGTCACTTCCCTTCACAGAGCTTCGGGCCCTCAGTTATTATTTCCTTCTCTGGTATATCCAAGAATTTCTTTCAATGTATAAGCACCCAATGCCTTCCATCTTTAAACACTCCTCCTTTCCAACAGCTCCTCCAGCCCCTGCATTCTTTCTGCTCCCTTTTACTGCTAGATGTCACAAAAGCATTGTGTGAACCACTCACCTTCCACTCCTTAATTTCCTGGAATGATGTGCTCCAGTTCTTTCCTCCTGACTTCTCAGCACCATTTCCTCACATTGCCTTGAAATGCTGAAAGCACATTGCCTTGGTTTTTCTCCTACCCACTACAAGATCCCCTTTTATTAATTCGGCTAAGATATATTTCAATTGCATAAAGCAACACTATTCCCAAGTCTAAACCTAATCGTTAGGCAGTCACGTCCATGTGTGCAACCTCAGGTTCCATCAGGAGTGCTACATATAAAAAGCTGGGCATTGGTAAGTGCTAGACAAATATTCACTGCTATTGCTATTACTAATAGTATATTTGAATATTGATAACCACCCCAAGTTCTTATTTCTAGCAAAGATTTCTTATTGATGCCAGATATGTATATATTGAACTATTTGATTTAGTTGGATATCTCAAAAGCACACTAACTTTATTCTCTCTAAAACTGAACGATCCTTCTTGCCAAGGTTGGTTGTGTTCCAGAACTACCTAGGGTGGTAGAGGACTCCACAGTTCATCCATTTGGCCTAGCTATAAATCTAACATGTCCCAAAACTGATTCTAGTATTATTGATGTAGGACGGTACTGTATCATACCTCCGTGAATGTAAAATATCTTGTACCTGCTTTATGATGCATAGTAGTGACCATGTTTCATCAGAGCTATAGTTAATGATGTTACTCTAGAATGTTCTCTTTCCAGAGGATGATTAAGATGCTAATAAAAAAAAAATGGTGCCAGGTACCACAACAGCAACAGAACTTTGCTGTTTTCTTCTTCTTCTTCTGTTGTTTTGTGTTTACCCCAGGTTTTTTAAAAATGGTTTTTAACTGATGCTCATGAAGAGAAATTAAACTGTGCCATTAATGAAAGGAAACCCTATCTAAGAAAGTACATTTCTTTACAGAGCTGTGTCATATCATCCTTTGGGCCCTCTGCTGGAAAAAGTAGAATCAACTCTGAAATAAGGCCTTTTTAATTGTATCCTCTAGTATTATAGATGTAGGACAGTACTGTATCATACCTCTGTGAATGTAAAATATCTTGTACTTGCTTTATGATACGTAGTAGTGACTGTGCTTTATCAGAGCTGTTTTTAATGATGTTACTCTAGAATGTTTTCTTTCCAGATGATGATTAAGGTGCTAATAAAAAAAATTGTGCCAGGTACCACAACAGTAACAGAACTTTGCTGTTTTCTGGGTATTATTCTTTTCTTTGTTTTTTTGTTTTTGTTTTTTTAATGGAGTGTGCTGGATGTCTATAATTTTGTTCAGATGACTGCAGAACCTGGAAAAGCTGTTGCTGCTATTGATGCAAAACATACTGCTATTATTGGTCTTTTTATATAAATATAAATATA